AAAAGAAATGGAATAGGGACAAAATAAATTGTAAAATAGGCAAATATGTGTAATTTTTAAACAAAATATGTTATAGTTAATAAAAAATTAAACAGTACTGATTGCAGAAAATTCCAAAATAATTTATTAAGGTACACAGAGATTATTTTTTTCCAATTGAATATAAGATTGTTGTAGTGCATCACAAGCATATGTTCAATATTGGTAAATGTAAGGCTTTCTTTATTAGGTTGAAGGAAGTTTTTGTGAACTAAAAATTATTTCTTCAATGATGAGTGGTTTATTTTATACAGCAGCCCTCCTGATTGCAGAAAAACTGTTGTAAGATCTTGATAGAATTCATTTCTTGGTTGATTTGCAGCATTATTTAGCAAATTTCCTATAAAATATTGTCGTTTAGATGACCTGTGTACCTCCTTGCAACATTTACATTTTACTTTCTCCATGTGTTTTTTCATTCCAGATAATAAATGCTTATCATCAACTAACAAAACAATCACATACATTACATCAGTTTCAATATACTTCATCTTTAAAGGAATTTGATGACTGGTACAGTTTAGATCTTGGCATTTTCGGCATTACAAAACAGTGGAAAAAAATGTTAGAAATGCAATCTAGTAGGTTTGCAATAACTGGTATTGTTATTGTAAATCACAAATATTAAAGCGCTAAATTATTACATTATATTTAATTAATACAATCATACTATTTTTCCGTAAAAATAAATAGTTGTTATGAATTAAGATAAGAAAAATTCCAGGAAAAAGGAGGAAATGGTGCTGAATCATTATAAAATGGAAGAAAGATGAAAAAGTGCAAACAAATGCAGCTTATTTATTACATAAACATGAAATAAATATAAATGAAATGTTTCTGTTCTCTCTCCTAAATTATCAGAAGAGGTGTTGTGCCTTAAAATCCGAGATTTGATGACATTAATTTTATTTATTTTTAAATGTATCAATATATCTAATGTTGTTCTGCATTATAGAATTTTTCATGAACGTTAGAATGCAAGATTGCATTATGTGATTACATTATCAATAACAATACTGTAATATAATGGTGTAAATAATGTAAAAATATTAGAAAAGATTGTTGCTATGATATAACTTGGTAACATAACTCATGTTAATAAGAGAATCCAAAAATTTAATGTCACTTATTTCATGGATATGTATGTATGTGTGTTGTCATCTATTTTGCTTAATATCTCAGGATGGAGTAAAGATTAAGTAACAAAATTTGGCATGGTGTCTTATATATGAGGAGTATTGGTACTATTAAATTTTGGTGGTTAAAGATGGGAGATAAAGGGGATCGTGTGTATCTCCAGTAGGATCTGACTTAATGACAATTTTACTCATTATTAACATTTATACTTTTATATAAAACTCATCCCTACTCTCAAAATTAAGCTTTTTGCCATTTTATAGTAATTAAAAATATAAAAGTTTTTTATAACAAAATCTTACATACAATTTTTTTGCTTATTAATTAATATAAGTTTCTTTTTTTTAAATAAAAACTTATAATAGCCGGGAAAGTTACGCAACTGTCGTTGCTGGATTTTTTAAATTTTACTCAACGAGTTGCAGCATTTATAATTAATTAACATCGGATTTGGCCTCTAGTTTAAATAGTTAATTCAGGAAAAATTTAAATAGCTATTTATTTAACTATTTTACTGAAAAAAGTTATAAATTTTTAACCTAACTTATAAGAAAATTGTGGTTTTTTTTTTAAATATAAAGTTTTATGTAATTCTGTTATGAATTGATATAAATGTAAATTACTCCGGAAAAGTGAAACTAACTACTATCTGAACATTTACTTATTGCAGGCGTATGATCGTTATCGTTTTTTATCGCGTGAATATTAAGTGAAGATATTTATAATTGTTTTCTATATAGGCTACATTTATATCGGTTTGACGTCATTATTTTTGTAATAAGTAAATATAAAAATGATGCTAAACTGATATAAAAATAGGAGTTGGCTCTACTAAACAAAAGACGAGCATATTTCTAATTCAAACAAGATTAAAAAATTAACAATCTTGAATTGATTTCTCAAGATTATTGTGCAAAATGAAATTCCATTGTCTTAGAACATGAAATCAGTGACAAGCCCTGGATGATTTCTCGGGAATGAGCACTTATTTTGTTCAATTTCATACGATTATACAGTCAAATTTGGATAATATGTAATGTAAAAAACATACTGTGGTCGACTGCTTCGACATGAAATAAAGAATTATTCCGTTCGTGTTACATGCTAATTTTTTCACTTTAATGTATTTGGAGATATTCCACATAATAAGTGTTTAGTTTCGGGTGAATGTGTTGTATTCGAATTGCTAAAACAATGCATTCTTAGACTCATAATGTTAATTTTAAACTATTCAAAACAATTGTGTTATTGATGAAAATTGATCCTACTTGAAATTTGAACTTTTATTTTTAATTAAAACTATTTAAATAAAATAAAAGTAGATTGATTTTACTTTAGACACACACAAGTTATATAGAAGAGGGTGTAAAGAAACTTTTTTGCCAATATTTTAGGGATAGATTCTAGAGTAAAAAGTAAGCTTTAAATCCTCTATAAATATTTGAAAATTCCGCTTTGTTTTCGAGATCTGGCCTGCCAAAAACTCAATAATGTAGCAATATTTCTTAAAACGAAGGGGGGAAAAAAGAATAAACTGTATTTCTTTGATTCAAATAAACCTGGAAATAAAGGTGCTGTTAAAAATAAACTCAGGTTGAAAACATATGAAACATGTTGAAGTTCTACATTGTATAGGATAATGTAGTTTACAGTGGTAAGTAAGGAGTTTTTAACTAAAATTTACCTCTTCAAATTGTCTCGAGTAGGACAGCACTTTCTAGTCCAAGGTTCACGGAAACTTTTTTTTTTTTTTTTTTTTTAATAAGATTACAAATACAGTATTGGGCGTGGGAAAAGTCACGATCGAGTTCATAAATCGAAAGCTTACAAGCCAAAGTAATTAGGAAAACTCTGATTCAAAATCTCTTTCCAAAAGAGATAGCGAGTTTGTATCAAAAGATATAATCAAGATGTTAATAAATTACGGCCTCGGAGGATACGTACATTTTAAAAATAAACTCCCAGGGATTTAATAGAGAAAATACGATATTAAATACATTGTTTAAATGTATTTAATATCGTATTTTCGTTGGTTAAATACGATATTAAATATATCATTGTTAAATACGATATTAAATATTCTTACATGACAGTATTTTGAATTGATTAGTAATGACAAGTTTCAATATTTAAATAAAAGTAGGAAAGTTCATGTAGTCTTTAAAGCACAAAAATCTCTATTTCCTAATCGCTTTTGAACAATATGATAATATCTAGACCAAAGGTTCCCAGCTTATTTTTATCATGGAAGTCTTTTCACTTTAATTAAAAATGTTGGAACCTCAGATATCAACGAATTAAAGCATATCAGGTATTATAGCCAGTTTACATTAAAACCGAAACCGAAAATAAAACTATCATTAAATCAAAATAAATCAATTGGAAATTAAAACAATGTTTTTAAAAACCGTTTAAAAGTTGTTTTGAAATTTTAAAATTGTAAATCAAATTTATTTTTAAATTTATATTTGTGTGCAATGATGAAAGAGCATTTTGGTTTTTATATAGGCCTACTGTATATATAGATTTAACGATTGTATTTTTATTTACATATTGGATCTTTTTTAAGATTATAACTCGTATATCCCTAGATTCAACAGATTTTATTGTGAAACCCCAAATTTTTTTTTGTGGTTCCAAAATAAAATCTGGTGTTATTCATTACGAATTCCTTCCCACTGGTAAACTGTCAACAAAGAATAATATTTGAGCGTTTTTCGTCGTTTGCATAGAGACATTCGAAGAAAATGACCTTATTTGTGGCGAGAAAACTCGTGGATTTTGCACCACAATAATGCAAATGCTCACAATGCTCTTGTTGTTGGTGAATTTTTGGCCAAAAATTCAAAAAATACGGTTTCGCATGCTCCGTATTTATCTGATGAGTTTTTCCTGTTTCCTCGACTAAAATTCTCAGTTATTGGCCAGCCTTTGAGTCGATTGATGCCATAAAACAAATATTCTCTTCGTGTCCTGAAGGGTGTTTCACGAAAACGACTTCAAAGCATGTTTTGAGGATTGGAAAAAATGTATTGTATTGTAGTGAGAGGGAGATTACTTTGAAGGAGACGAAATCAATTTTGATGAATAATTTAAAATCTTGCGTTTTATTGTACCATTTCCGATACTTTTTGATTACCGGGGTATCTTGAAACTAATAATTGTTAAAACTTATATCGATTATACAGTAATTTGGTATAAACAATAGATTGGATATAATTTTCTGCATTTGATCTTTATTTATAAATTATTCTAATTCTCTAATTACTGTTAAAAAGAAACCGAATTTCAAAGATGTATTCATAACAATATAGGACTTACATTTTGAAATATAACTTGGCCCTATTAAATTTTATTTTAGTTCTACTAAAAAAAAGATAAATATTTTCAAATTCTTACGAAATTATTGTTTCAGTTCAGATAAATAGTTATTATTATCAGAATAATTCGAATCAAATATAGGTCTACGCATATAAAATAAAACAAAATATACACATATTAGGCCTATATATATTTATTGTGTCAGAAACTAAAATACTGTATAGGTTATTTATAAGTGTTAATATTTATTTATATTCAACACATTTATGATATAACGAGTAAAGAACGTATACTATCTAATAAAAAAACTTAATGATTCATATTTATAAATTTCTATACTGTTAGTTTATAATAAAAAAATTTTAAATTGATGCTTTAAAAATATATATTATAGAAGAATATAATAAAGATAAAAATTTAACATTTGAATTTAAATTATAACTGGTACCAAGAGATAACTAAATGCGATAAAAGCATATACTTAATATAATCAGTTTCAAATTGCAATTCATTTGTTTTTTTTGTGTCAAGTATGCTAAGCGATACAGTGAATAAGTGAATATTATCACAAATATAAGATAGGAACGTTCAGCTAGTATTTATCAATAGTGTCTTATGGATAACACAAGAGAAAACATGAGCCAAAAAAAGGTAAATTTATTATATCTGTCAAAATAAATCGTGTATTTTTAACAATAAAAAAATAATTTTTGAGCTTAAATATATATTAAAAAAAAAGAACTGAAAGATATACAGTAGTTGCAAACTCTGTTTTATTTGAATTTTTTCTTTAAATGGATTATCTGTAATTAAATTTAAATCTTTATAAACGCTGTTAGTACTGTTTTCTTTATGCAATAGTTTTCTTCAATGTTTTAATTGTATTAATTAAAATAAATTTAAATAATAAATTATCATTAGCAAAATTTAGCACACGAATCTATATTCTTTATGATTAATTTTGTCAAAAAGTTAAAGATAAATTAAATATTTCTGCTACTATTTATCTTGTTTTGATTAATGTATAAAATTATTTTACTTTAGATTAATATTTGATGCTTCTTTTTGATCGTTTAAAAAATTACTTTTAATTTTATTAATAAATAATTTATAGGCTCATATAAATTCAGTTTTTATTTTAAGCAAATACTTGTATATTTTATTTATTTATTTTAAGTATCTAACAAGAAAATTTTAATATTTTTAACTTATATATATATATATATATATACAGTGATGTATAGGCTAAAGCAATTTTAACAAAGAATAGATTTACTTACTGTATAAGTAAGAAAATCATCATCAATTATTTGCTCCATTGATCTGTGTTTGCTTTATGTTTTCTGGTGTTAAATAGCCTGTTCAATTTTTATTATAAAGTAACACAGGCCTAAAATATTGCATATTTAATAAAATCTGATATAAAGAGGCATAATTTTATTACATTTGCATAATCAATGAATAAGTTATAAATAATTATTTAGTATAAAAAGTATACAAGTATTTCTAATTATGATTGTTACGAGTGATTTATATTCATAATTACATATTAAAACTGATTAGACTGACATAATATTATAAAATAATAGAATTTAAATACTTTACATTACATTGACGTTTATCTAATTATAAATTTCAAATATTAAAAACCAGATACAGGTAGATAACACACGTGCTGGATATTTATCGGAATCTTTTCATTCGATAAATATCTATCATGTTTTTATCTATTACTGTAAATTTTAAAAATATGATATTTCATAAATCATATAATATTTTTAAAATTCAGAATAACAAAAACAACGGATCATTTATTCGTAAAAAAACAATGATGACATGGTCTATTATTATCTATATTAATAGATATTATAACAAAAAATTATATCATTAGCTTTTTAAATGTAATGAAATGCTGAACAGTATTGTTTTCCTTTAACTCTTTCCGTCCTGAGAGCACTAAGAAGAGTTTTTTCTATATCCATCGTAGGTTTTGTCAAGCCTACAATGGGAATAGTTAGATATGAAGAACGAGGGATTCCGGGACGAACCAATCGTGAAAACATCGCCTTCAGAGCTCAAGGCGATGCTTTAACTGCGACGGTCGTGCGACCATAGAATTACAAGTATTAATTAATAGAAATGAAATCAAATATATTGAATGTTTATCTAAAAATTTTGCAATGTAAAGCTGAAACAAAAGTAAAGGTGAAGAAATAGTTTTATTACTTGATAAATATATAACGAAATGTCTTCAATCCGGATAATAATAACAACAAATCATATTAAAAACAACGCTACTACAGTATATGAAAAGCAAACAGAAATATATAGCATGAAATTTTGAATAACTTTATTAAAATTTGGGTATAAAAATTATTTAATATTACTTTAATGTGATTTAATATACAATATAGAGAATTATGTTACTGTATATGAATATATAATAATTACATAGTTTTTTGTTTGCACTTGATGTTTGTTTGTTTGTTAAGTTACGGTAACGCAACACTTGGGCGATCTGCCTAGGGGGATGGCTTCCGGGAGGTCTTTTTAAGGGAAACTGTGGAGAAATCTCCACATGGCCAGCCCGTCTGAGCGAGGCGCGACCCCATAACCGAACTCCCAGTGTTTAGGGTATTGCACTTGATGATTTTGCATTCTTCATTACTTTACGTAATTGTTTTTATAAGTTTAACATGAAAAGTTAATTTTATGTGTAATTTTGTAACAATATAAATCTACATTACCTTTAATTCCTCTTAGATCTATAGTCATGGCGAATTAACTACGACCCACTGAGCTTTAGTAAGACTCTCTCTGTTTTTGTCCCGTTTTGCATTTTGTTTAATAGAATAAAATGACGTTATCTTACAGCCTGTTGCAACAAATAGTTTTTTTTTTAATTTTCTAATGTTTACAGTTATCTATACAGCCATCATCAGGAACGAATATTGAATAGTTTTTAAAATTTAAATTCGTGTTCCAAATATGGTTCAATGGCATACAATTGAAATAACATAAATAAGTAATAACAATAAAGTATACAAAAATATTTAATACATCATAATATACCTTAATATAAACAATAATAATAAACAGTAGATTTGTTTAATTAAATATATAAATATAAAATTGCAACGTTTAACAATACTTTGTTTCCGTTTGTTCATCCGTCGTTCGCTCCAGTTGACAGTCCACAAAAATTACAATCACGGAGGCGACCTTTCTTTAGAGGCTGCTGCCTCCGCAATAAAATGCAAATATGGTTAAAAACGTCCTCTGGTGCTATTGCCACTTTCACAAAAATTCATTTTGAAGAAAATAATAAATATTAACATGGCCGACGGTATTACATTTAATAAAATATAAAAATATAAAATTACAACGTTTAACAATACTTTGTTTCCGTTTGTTCATCCGTCGTTCGCTCCAGTTGACAGTCCACAAAAATTACAATCACGGAGGCGACCTTTCTTTAGAGGCTGCTGCCTCCGCAATAAAATGCAAATATGGTTAAAAACGTCCTCTGGTGCTATTGCCACTTTCACAAAAATTCATTTTGAAGAAAATAATAAATATTAACATGGCCGACGGTATTACATTTAATAAAATATAAAAATATAAAATTACAACGTTTAACAATACTTTGTTTCCGTTTGTTCATCCGTCGTTCGCTCCAGTTGACAGTCCACAAAAATTACAATCACGGAGGCGACCTTTCTTTAGAGGCTGCTGCCTCCGCAATAAAATGCAAATATGGTTAAAAACGTCCTCTGGTGCTATTGCCACTTTCACAAAAATTCATTTTGAAGAAAATAATAAATATTAACATGGCCGACGGTATTACATTTAATAAAATATAAAAATATAAAATTACAACGTTTAACAATACTTTGTTTCCGTTTGTTCATCCGTCGTTCGCTCCAGTTGACAGTCCACAAAAATTACAATCACGGAGGCGACCTTTCTTTAGAGGCTGCTGCCTCCGCAATAAAATGCAAATATGGTTAAAAACGTCCTCTGGTGCTATTGCCACTTTCACAAAAATTCATTTTGAAGAAAATAATAAATATTAACATGGCCGATGGTATTACATTTAATAAAATATAAAAATATAAAATTACAACGTTTAACAATACTTTGTTTCCGTTTGTTCATCCGTCGTTCGCTCCAGTTGACAGTCCACAAAAATTACAATCACGGAGGCGACCTTTCTTTAGAGGCTGCTGCCTCCGCAATAAAATGCAAATATGGTTAAAAACGTCCTCTGGTGCTATTGCCACTTTCACAAAAATTCATTTTGAAGAAAATAATAAATATTAACATGGCCGACGGTATTACATTTAATAAAATATAAAAATATAAAATTACAACGTTTAACAATACTTTGTTTCCGTTTGTTCATCCGTCGTTCGCTCCAGTTGACAGTCCACAAAAATTACAATCACGGAGGCGACCTTTCTTTAGAGGCTGCTGCCTCCGCAATAAAATGCAAATATGGTTAAAAACGTCCTCTGGTGCTATTGCCACTTTCACAAAAATTCATTTTGAAGAAAATAATAAATATTAACATGGCCGACGGTATTACATTTAATAAAATATAAAAATATAAAATTACAACGTTTAACAATACTTTGTTTCCGTTTGTTCATCCGTCGTTCGCTCCAGTTGACAGTCCACAAAAATTACAATCACGGAGGCGACCTTTCTTTAGAGGCTGCTGCCTCCGCAATAAAATGCAAATATGGTTAAAAACGTCCTCTGGTGCTATTGCCACTTTCA